GGCAAAATATTAAGTCCAATACATTGTCACCTCTTGTAAAAGTTGTAACATATTGCTTCCATTCAAAAATAGACAATGTATGGAAAAAGTTGTCACATTTAGCCGGACCAATAAGTGAATCCCACTTAATTTCAGGTAGGTTAAAGTCACCGCGGATGATCATATGGGAGAGTAGATGCATGTTCCAGAGCCGTAAACTGTGGAGTCTAATGATTGTTAAAGGTACCAGGTGCCCTATAAACACATCCCACCAGTGCTGTAGCATTCCTGTAGTGTACTATGACCCGTAGAGAGTCACTTACTTTATCAAAAACCATATTTTCAAACCTGGATACGGTGACAGTGTTCAGGAAGTATATTGGACAACCCCCTCCTTTCTTGTTACCCCCGGTCACATCGGAATTGTGTATACATGTCAATACCTATCTTTTCATCTGGTATATTTGCCTGACACCAAGACTCAGTGATAATTATTACCGGCGGCTTACATATGAGCGCTATCCCTCTTAACACCGATAGTTCGCTAAGGATGGACCTTGCGTTTATGAAAACGATGTACAAGTAGGGAGAGTAATGGTGTGTAAAGCTTTCTAGTTCGCTAAACAAGCCAAAAGGTATCTCAGTGTAGCCTGACTGAGTATAGTCTCACGTCGTTGCGTTACAGAACGTTTCTACACCTTGTTCACTTGTAGCTGTAGAGTTACTAGGATATTCCAGTGGTATTGAATTACTAGGAATCTGCGAAGGCAGGTGGAATGGAAGTGGACTCTCTAAACTGTCAACTGCAGGGTCAGTAATCCACCCCGGTACTGTCACCCGGACGACAACCATGTGCAAACTGAAGGTATGGCTACCATGATGTCTCCAGGAGCATCGAAGGCCCTCATACGGTGGGAACCAATCTCCTTCACGATCATAACAACAAGGTTCAGCTCAACAGGAAAGAAAGTCATAGTCGTACAATGCCACGCTACGTATCTACAAATAACGCAGAGCAAGTGAAAAGGGAGGAATTTTACAGACAACTGCAATCAATACTGGACGAGACCTCAGTTCCTGACGTCAAAGTTCTAATGGGTGGGGTGACATGAATGCCAAACTGGGAGAGGACAACACAGAAGGAGAACTAACCATGGGTCGAGGAGCGCTCAGCGAAATGAACGGGACGGAGAACTGCTTGCAGAATTCTGTGACTTCAACGATTTGGTGATTGAAAGCACTCTGTTTGAGAACAAGTATGCCCACAAAGCAACACGGGTTTCACCAAGTGAACGCAATATACCAAAATTCAGATCGATCTCGTCCCAATGTGAAGAAAGTGGAGACGCAGCCTGCTTGATACAAGGTCAAGATATTGGCTGAGACCATTATCTAGTGCAAGGAACCTTCAAAATCAAGTTGAAAGCCTTCAAAGAAGTTGGGGATGAACCATAGTTCAAGTTCAACACCCTGAACAGTAAGTGAAGGACGAAACTACAAAGGAAGTCTTCATGTCAGCCATCAAGACAAAATGGGAGATTTCGAGCAACATTCCTAAGGAAACCCGTGCGGGTGAGCACTGGAACTTTTTGGAAGCTATGTGGAAAGAGACCTGCATAACCGTATTGTGGAGGAAGAAGAAAGAAGGTGAGGAATAGATGTCGACGGACACATGGAAGCTGATAGAGGGGATGAGCATGGTGTAGAAATCAACACAGATGAAACCAATAAAAGATGATGAAGGAAATCGAACTACGAAAGAAGACAAACAAAGGAAGTGATGGGCTGACCACTTCAGAAGGCTGTCGAATCAACCACCACCTGCACTTCTTCCAGAAACACCACCTGCAGCCATGCAGCTACAATTGAACACAAGCCCCCTGAAGAAAGTCGAAATCCTGAACGCCACGCCATAAGGCTACTGAAATGCGGGGAGGCAACACAGTTGGATATAATCCCTCTAGAAGCACTGAGAACGGACTCAGGGACAACAGTGGACATGCTCACATTACTATTGCAGAAGGTTTGGAATGAAGGAAGGAGAGGCACCTACCGATTGGAAGAGGGACTACCTTGTCAAACTCCCAAAGAAGGGAGACATAAGCCTTTGCAAGAACTGGAGCGGAATCATGTTTCTGTCCACCCGAAGCAAAATATTAAGCCGCATAATCCTGAAGGGACTAAAGGATGCACTGGATTCGAAACTACGACAGGAACAGGCAGGCTTCAGGAAGTACAAATCATGTGCGGACCAAATGGCAACACCAAGCTACGCATCATCATAGAACAGAGTATAGAATGACAGTCAACTCAAATCAAGTCCGCCTCAACTTCGTCGACTTTGAAACTGCCTCGACAGCGTCGACCGAGGAGCAATTTAACAGGCATCTGCTTCAACACTACGGAATACCACAAACATTTATCAATCTCATTCAACAACTACATGAAGACGCCACATGCCGAGTAATTCACATTGGAAACAACAGTGATGCCTTTGAAGTGAAGACAGACAAGAGTAAGACAAGGCTGTCTACTATCACCCATGACCTTCCTGATTGTGGTCGACTGGATCATGTTACAAACAATGAGAAGCGAGGATAGGGGATAGGCTGGACCGATGAAAAGACAAAGATTTTAGAAGATTTGAATTTCACCAATGATGACTTATGTCTAGTGTCATACAGACTTGAAGATCTACTGGCGAAAACTAACAAGTTGATGGAAGAGATAGGGCAGCGAAAACGGGAGTTCAAGTAAACGTAGAGAAGAGGGAGGTGATGAAGATACCCAACCAACTCCACCACCACCAGCAAGCTCCAATCACCATCAACAGGAGAAACGTAAAGGAAGTAGCCCCTTTCCCCTATCTGGGCAGCACTGTTTCAACTACAGATGGCGGCACAGACGACGACGTCAAAGCCAGTTATGATCGGAAAAGCAAGACAGGCGTTCATTACCTGGAACCAGTGTGGAGATCCGCACTGCACTCAGCACAGAGAAGGAGATCTGGATTTTCAACACCAGTCCATTCGAGTCGGTGCTTCTATGTGGTTCAGAGACTTGACGCGTTACGAAAGACATTTCCAACAAACCGTAGACATTCATCAACAGCTGCCTACACTGGCTCATTACTGAACCTCAGATGACCAGAAACAATAAGAAACAAGCAACTCGGGCTGGCTGGCAACGAACCAACGAAGCAAGAACCTATGGCTCAACAAATATGCAACAGAAGGAAGTGGAGATGGATTGGGCATGCACTAAGAAGACGATTCGGGGACATAACGCGCTAGGGGCCAGATGTTCGAGTGTAACCCAGATGGGGAGCAAACGACTAGCTGGGCGCCCGAGGCGACGGTGAAATGGAGGAGACCGTGTGAGGAAGAAATGAGAGATTCTGGATTGTAGTAGAACGAGGTACAAAAGATTGCAGGGAAGAGAGTGGAATGGAGACGTGCTACTGAATTCCTTTCCTCCACTAGGAACCCAAGGGACAAAAAAATAATATGATATAATAATAAAGATCTATATTCTACTTATAGAACGGCTTAGGAGCTTTATGTAAGTTTAAGCCGGATTACAAATGCTTAGTGATGGTGACTCTGTTATGCATTCGAGTACCAGCAACAGATTTGATATGCAGATACAGGTTTGGGGGTGATGTGAGGTGCCGTGGGGCGAAGATAGTTGCTGTCGTCCTAAATGGAGGGAGAATGAAGGGGTATATCTGGTGAAATGACGTCAGATTGGTGTGGGTGGCTTCCATCAGTCGCCACCTTCGGATCTGTCCATCATGTCAAGTTGCAACGCATTTGTGAATTATATTTCTGGATGAAGAATGTAGCTGTGCTGTCACTCGTCTCAACAACACCCCTGGCACTTAGCCTCCACTCTCATTGCAAACCGTAGTGGCGTTGGTGGGGCTGGGATGGGGATGTTAGAGGTTGTTGTACTGGTCGTCATGTAGGTAGCTACTCGGCGTGGTTCGCACTGTTTGTTGACTGATGAGTGAGTGGATACGAGATAGACTTGTTTACTGGCTGGGAATGACTGTTGTGTGTCTGGTGAATGAAAGGGTCTAAATATACTGCAATGTGGTTGTGAGTAGTCTGGTGTGTGTTTGCGTTGTACTGTGTGGCATAACAAGGTTTAATGTAGTTATTTGTTGTAAAGAGTAGTGTAGTGTAAAGTAGCGTAGTGCAGTGTAGTGTAGCGCATTGCCGTTTTGTGGTGTATTCCGTTGCGTAGTGAAATGTAATTTACTAAAGTGGAGAGAATCTGAGTCTTGTGGCTTGTTGCGTTGAACGCTAACGGCTGTACATCTTAGTGAGCTGTAGCGAAGTTTATTCAAATAAGGTTGTGTTGCGCTGATTAATGTAGAGAAGCGCAATGTGACATGGTGTAGAATAGTGTAGTACGCTGTTGTCTCGTTTGGTGAGGTGGACTGCAGTGTTGTGAGTTTCAGCGATGTGCAGTGCAGTGCAGTGGGTTTCAGTGCGGTACAGTACAGTGTTGAATGTGACTTTCCTATTACATTTCAGTGTTTTAGAGAATTCGTTTTCGTGCCTCTCTCTTATTTCATCATGATATGATTGTGTTTGTGATTTGCAGTGTGTTTTGGATTGTAGGAGAAGGTGATTGGATTAGCAGTCAGTGTTCTCATCTCCTTCCACGAATGACTCGAGTCGAATCGCCTGAAGTGAGTTGAAGCCTGCTGGACTCTGTGTGCAGCGATAGTTACAATAGTTGTTTACTTCTCACGACTCGTCATCGTGAATCGGCATTGAGTTGACGCTGGTACGTGCACGTGCACGTGCAGATGCAAGTGCAGGTGATATGAATATGGTGTTTGTCGATGAAGTGAGTAATTTCCGATCTGCTTGAGATTTTCATATCTGTGGAGGGAGATGAAAAGAGAAGTGATGTGTAATGATATGATATGCCATGCTAGGTTATGCTATGCTATGCTCTGCTATGCAGTGCAATGCTATGCTATGGTGCGTTTTTGTGTGCGTTATCCTATGGCCTCGTATGATAAGGTATGGTTTGTTGTGGTATGGTATGGTATCGCATGGTATGTTATGTATGGTCATTTACGGTTTTGCTTTGTTTGTTTGTTATGAGGTTGTGTGTTGTTTTGTGTTGTGCTGTGCTTTGCCATGTTTACGGAAGGGTCAGGTTGGGCTACGTAATGGTGTGCTGTGATATTTTATGCTGCGCCAGAATTGAGTAGGATGTCGTGTGGTGTGTTGTGGTTGTGGTGTGTTGCATGGTACTTTGTGTTATGTGCTTATTGATGGATGGTGGTGGTGGTGATGATGATGATGATTGTGTGAGTGGTAGTGAAGTTTTATTTACTGATAGGTTTCGGTGATGGGCATTGCGTTGGCGAAGATGGTTTGTGTGAAGGTTGGGTGTGGATGTGGACGTCACATATGTATTTGGTTTGGTGTTTGAGAGGGAGATGGAAGTTCAGCGGGATGTTGGCATACTTTGGTGCTGGTGTCGGCGTTGAAGTGGTGTTTATCCTGTTCGTGATGATGATGATGAACGCGATGATGTTTATCCCTCCGATATTCAGCTGGCAATATGGAGGAAATTTGTGTATGTGTGTGGCTTGAGAGCGGCATAAGGTGGTGGTGGTGAATGGGCGAGTGACTGACGAATAAGGACAGAGATGGAGGCGAAAGCGGAGGCGGAGATGTTGCCGTTTAGCTGGCTTGCTGGCTACCTGTTGCCTGTTGCCTAAGAGGAAATTCCACCAGCCACTTACTCATCACTGACAATTGGTTGTAGGAGAGAAGACTGAAGGATGTTTTGGTCAATGCAAGTGTATTTGTTGGAGGCAGTGAAGGGGATAGTGAGAGACGGAAACAGAACTAGTAAGAGAGAGAGAGAGGGGGGGAGGGAGTGATGGTGGGAGATATTTAAGTCTTGAGGTGGTCTGTGTTGACAGGATGGAGAGGACACTGCTTTATTTGAAGGAGGATATTTTGATTTCTTTCTGAGTTTTATCTTTGTGTTTTCCTGCTCTGTGTCACTTCCCACCTCTGCATCCTCGACATCCACAGGATTTATTTGAGTGATGGCATCCACCACGTGAGAGGTCGCGGCGTGTCTCTTTCGCTTGCAATGGCCCTGTCTCTGAAAGTCTGTCGACTTTATTTGAGATGCAAACAAGACGAGGCCAGTCAGTTTGCGTTTTACAGTGAGCAGCTGATGAAATATTCGAATAAATGCTTGTCTATACTATATACCGCTTGGCCATCCGTTGGATTCGCAGTTAGCATTCACATAAATTTGCAGTCTGCTGGCATGTGCCTTTGTGTATATACACATATATATAAGTTATGTTTACTGCGATATGATGTTTAACATGGTTGGTGTCGTGCACGAATACATGGATGTCATTTTTTGTTTGCCTCTGCAAGTCCAATGATTGTTAACAGGAGGGGAGGTAGCTATCTGAGCATCACTTGACTTCTGCTTCACAATTTACGCAGGTGCTTAAACTGTTGCAGCCTTCTACCCCCTGCATAATTTTCTGTCTTAACCTGAATTCACATATCTATTTTCTCTTTGGTTGGCAAACTCTCACTTCATCGATTTCAGATAACAGTAATTGTTAACATAACCATTCACGCATTTCTCACTTGTCGTCTTACCTTGCATGGTAATGCAATTATAAGCCTCCAAAGTGAGTTGTTGCGGTAAAAAGAAATAATCATTCGTAGGACTATTATGCTTTGATGGTGAACTTTCCCGTGTAGAATTCATACTGAAGTTTTCAGCATTACGAAGGAGTTATGTTGACTGTTAGTTGTCTCCTATCAGACCGAGCGAAATTAGATGAAGTCCTTGAGAGGTCTGCCACGTGAGCTTGGTTTTGAATATGTTTCGCTTTGAGTCACTAAGTGGGACTATTTCTTCTATTTGGCTGTTTGTCTAGATTATCGCTTCCATTATAAGCGTCTAAAAGCCCTAGACTAGTTATTGTAGTTGGGTTTTCATACATGATAACACTCAGTATGCTGGTAACTAGTTGAGTTTATTGTGCAATGTTTCAGAGTATTGGAAACCATTTAGGGATAACCAGCTGAAGAATTCTTTCAATAACTTCTGACATCACGTACGAAGTAGTCCACATAGGAAGTCAACATTTTTGGCCAACATTGTGCTTAAGATATTCTCTCCAAGCCTAAGCTGGAAGAGGAAGAAAAAAGCGAAGCACCAGCAGGACCCGGAGAGTGACATGCCAAGCGACAAATTAGGAAGAGAGGAGCTCCTACCCTCTTAGACTCACTCAAGCTATATGTACACTTTAACTTATGGTTTATGCAAGCAACAATAACTCCTATGATTTTCTCGCATAAAGTTCCTACACAGTTTTAGATATGTTGCATTTATTTGTGAACCCACAAGTAAAAGTGACTTTACACCTATGAGATTTGTTCTTTTCTGTGTATTTTACTGACTACACAGTCCAAGCAAGTGAAACATTAATCAGGCGGTTGTGGACTATTATGTGACTCCCCCAATAGACTTGGCAGATCCTGAGAATCTCACTCCCAAGACTAAGCACCCTGGTCAAAGTAACCTATCAAAAGATAGACTTAGTGCCAGGGAACCCTCAAGCCAAACTCAGGGACTTAAGCCCGATACGATCATCAAGATGAGCAATTTTAAGCGTGCTTTGTATGACAGTGGTGAAAAAATTTCACTGTCGAAAGGGCTGCAACACAAATGCGCGCTACCAAGCCGCATTAACCATCGCCTTAGGCTACCGCTTGTTGCTTAGGCGAACTCATGAACCACAACGTGCCACCACGTAGCACTGGAACAAATCCTGGGGGTCTAATCATCCCTACCAGGGCATGGAATTAAGGCGCAACTCACGTGATTGTGACCCTGGGACTAGGTATATCACCCTAATTGCCAAGTATGCTAACACGCCCGGCTCTCATGGTTTTTTTGGTCACCAAACGTTATGTACGGCCTCGCTATGCAGGACCAGCTCACAGTTCACTGACACAAAGTAGGAATTGTCCAAACTGACACTCCCGACAGCGAATTTCAACACCCGACCCTAGTAAGGAGCAAGGACTTGTCGAAAAGCGAGCTGCTCTACCTAACAGACTTAGATGTCGCAAATCTACCCAGTGTCTTACCACTAGAAACCGATGGAGAGTCTCGGTTTGCCCCTAACACAAACCAAACATCACCCATAGACACACTATGTTTAAATGAACGTGACGAGATTGGAATAACTGGCATTGTAGGTAAGTTCATCAGTCACAGAAATCTATTTACACTGTTGCCCATCAACGCAGTTCCCTACCTAAAAAGTATGTTTTTAGAGCAACGATCCTGATCACCAAGCCGACGATACTACTTATGAGCGAATCATGATGTCCATCTATCATCCTGGATGTTGACTTATCTATAAATGGATACACTCTCTATGTACTAATCGAGATAGTAAGCGTGGTGGTGGCTGTCTCATTTATGTATGCGACCGAGTTACGGCAAATGAGGCTGAGGACAATAGATCTTGGTCTCAGACGGGTCGGTCATGTCAACTACTCATAAAGCAAACATCGAATATTACGCCATTTGATGCCACTATTGTGTAGAAAAGGAACCGTGAGTAGGAGCGATCTAAACTCAGGATGACGTGTATGTGCTGTAAGGTGATACTTTCCTGCTATTTTCCTAACTTTTAGACACTTGATGTCATGAGAGTTTAATGTCTTTATGTACCATTCAAGACTGCTCAAAATATTTGCTTCCCTGCATTTATCAATTTGATGATACCTTTAAACCGGTTTCTCTCATATTGATTTCATAAACTGAGAATAAAAATATTTACTGATTAATTTTTATTAAATGTGGTGCCCGACTCACCGTGGGTTACCTTAAGACAAATACATAGTGGTCATATGTTACGTATATCGAGCACCATGCTCAACAGCGGTAACGGATACACTTCTAGCTGTATCATTTGCTTATGCTTCCTCATGTAGTGCGAATTTTAAATTGATTGCTGGTGACTTCAGTCTTCCTAAAATTAACTGGATAGCTGGCTATGATGAGATACCTGCTGTGATAGATCTCTATGGTTGGAAGCAATATAACAAAGCACCCACTCACGGTAAAAACATGTTGGACTTACTGTTTTGCCATAACACCACCCCAGCAGCTATCTATGTTGATGGCGAATTTCACAATAGCGATCACGGAGTGGTATTCTGTTATCTATCTGTCCTAACTCTAAATGCGTATGGTAGGTAAGCTTCACAGATTATCCAATACCGCAACTATAAAGACATGGGCTGGAAACTGCTTACAGAGCATCTGATGTTTCCCTTTGGGAAAACTACTCAACCACTGACTCATAAACAGCCACGGTGTCTCTTTTTTACAGAAGTGTTATGTGGCATCTGTATACTGTTGCCCCTCTGAAAACAGTGAAACTGCACCACCACTTAGAGTAAACTCCACCCATATACCGCGAAAAGCGACTGTCAGATCTGCACCACCCCACTAAGGATTTCTCCTTGCTGTATGTAATCTGTGATACGCTGGAGTCAATCAAAAGCCTACTTGCTTAAAAAGCCTGAAATGAGGGGTTACAAGCCTTTAAAACAGGATCAATAATCAACCGTCCGTCAGACATATCAAAGCACGGCGAGCGAGTGTGCGGACCCACCGCATCGGTATCCGCCAAAGACTTGAAACCCCTTGGAAGTGAGGGCAGAGAAACTAAATGGCCCATACAACCTGGTGAAAAGATACTGGGTAATGCATACTGACCACAATGACCTGAGACCGGTAATCCCTAGGAACTTCCCCGAGGTACACTCATAACCAATCCACAACCTCTTCAAGCACTCGTTGATTTCATACATACTCCCTAAAATGTGCAAGCGCGCTAACTTTTCACTCGACTTCAAGCGAGGAGACAGAAAACGTTCCGGCTTACTCTTTATACTATCCACAGTGTTAGAAAACTTGTAGCGGACGAGATCTGGGAATCCATCTGCAGAGAAAATACCATCCTTGCTGTAGAACATGGCTTTCTGAGTGGTCATTCATGTACGACCAACTTGCTGACTTCCCGGGGTGAGGTAACTTCCAGGCGGGACAACAGAAAACCAGTACATTTTGTTCGTCTCGACTTAGCTAAGGCATTTGACACTGTCTTCCTGCAATCCTGCTCCACAAGATCGCGTCAGTTGGAACAAGCTAACCTCAGCTCTCTCGGTTCAAAGCGTGCCTTCAGGGTAGACTGTTCCTCATCAGGGCAAACAGAATGAGGTCGTAGTAGGGACTGTCGCCAACCGGAGTACCCCACGGAGCAATCCTGGGACCACACCCGTTCGCCAACGGTCTGTCACACAAAGTCCCGCCACCCACCCTCTTCTTCACTGATGGCATCAAAGCTAGGAGGGAGAGAGCGAACCAGCTGACTGTACAGCAATCCGAAATAGCCTGCAGCCACTGAAATTCCTGTCGTCAGAAAATGGCTTGAGCTCCAATCAGGAACAGTGAAAAGTAACGCACATCAGTTCTCGCAAAGCAATGATGGCTGAATTTCAGTACAAGTTGAATAACTATGCTGCCATCAAAGCATCTGGGAAAACAAGTCGGGGCTTGACCTACTGGACGCCCTGAGCAGCAGCTGTGGCCACAAAAAGTAGGGGCCAGAGCAAACGCCGCATCACGGTCTTAGCGTAGGGGCTGCTGCCCTCCCCTCTAAACTATTTCTCACAGTTTTCAAATCCTCTGTACGGCTACACCAGGTAGTTTTCAACACGGCGGCATATCAGACACTCAAAAGGGACTCAATTCTACTTGAGAATAAAAAAGAACTGCCACGTAGTCTTTTTTGGACTAAGAGGAAAGGCAAACTATGTGGAACTGAACCTATTGACTTTGGGCTGTCGCAGAAATGTGAGTGACCTTATTATGACCTACGACGTCATCCATCGGGCAAGTCACGCAAAAACCTAGCCTTACCGGATACATGACGGCCGTCACAACAGAACGCTATTAGGATATTCCATTAGAGAGCTGATGCCACGCCCAAATCCATCTCTTTCTCTTAAAGAGTATGTGCTATATGGAGTGCCTTACTGCGGGATATAGTCGTGGCCAGCCGGTGGTTAGACAGGCACGCTATTTCCTATGGCCTGCCACAGACGCACTCAGGACACTGCTAACCTCACTGTCCGACAGCTACTTCCCTCGTATTTAACAGATTTACCATCTCTCATGTTACTACGCCTACATTATCTACTAACTCTTCTCCAGTGACTATGCCCGTACTACCAACTTTTACCTTCTAAGTAAGACCCACATAACCTTCACTGACTTGACATTGCAACTCTGACATCTATGCGGAAAGGAGACACAAAAAGCTCCCAATTTTACTGGAAACCTTTAGCTTTCTAACCATCTCAATACATAAATTACAGTTGCCAACCTACAAAAGCATTCATCTCAAAGGAGCTGAAAACGGGAAAGCAGAAGAGGTTTGCTTACCCAGTGCGGAGATAATCGACTAACAAGAACCAAGCCCCAAGAACTACAAGCACTTCTAGTGTTGGATGTTAGAACCATTGAATGCACGGAATTCTAACTATTTCTAGAACAAGTGGTAGGAGAGTTTTGGATTAACGTTTACAGAGAAAGCAGAATTTTGATGGGGAATAACTGCAGCAAGAACGAATATATACCAATATCACAACCACCTGACATTGAAGAGTGAGTGAGAATAACTATATTTTGCAGCGTAATTTAAGTGGTCACGCTACCTTGTGTTTGTCAGGTTAGATTTTGTTTTCTACCCTCCAACTTACCACTTTCTAATAATTTAAACTGACAGTAAAACTGCTGTTCCATGATTAATTTACTCCCTTGTCAAAACATTTATTACTCGTGTGCCGCCATGAATTTAAGGGTTAGTCACTTGTTCTCACAGCCTCAACCAGCATTTTTGTAAGGTCAAATAGGGGAATGCTGGTCCATGCATCTGAGTTGGGGCCATATGTGGTATACATGAGTCCAAACGTTTAGTGAACTTACAAGTCAGATCTTAAGGTCCAATTTAGACGATTGGATAATCTCTTTCATCATTCATTTTCGATAAACAGGTATGTGCTACGGTGTTCACCGCCGAAGAACAGCTTCCTACCATATCAAAGTAGTAGATACAAAACAGTTAATCAATTTTGCATGAAAATACCTATTTCCTACAATGCAACCATCACAATTTGGAGTTTCGAGTTAAGTACTTCCTGTGGGTGTTTCGAAGTCGTCTGGTCTTTCTAACGTCTATGATCTTTGGTTCTCTTCGGAAATCATTCACCAAAGAAGGTCTTTCTTCGCTAATAGTTACACACTTAGAGCTTTTAGTTGAAGTTGCTTACCGAATTTGAAGACCAAGTAACAAGTTTCTCCCATACATTTTCTTATTTTTGTTCTGTATATAAACTATGTGTCTTTCGCAACATAATTGTAATGGCACAGAAAACTAAGTCACAGGCGACAATTTCTCTAATGAGGTCAGCAGGTGGATAGGAAAGAGTTTGTGGAGATCAGTTAAGCCTCAGGATCCCCATACCTGTCGCACCCTAGACAGTTTTCAGTTATAAGGATAGTAGGCCAGTTGGCCTGTGTTAATCCTTGCAAAAGATATCTCTATGAAGATCTAGTTTCTCCTTGAACGCGTTGATAGGAGGTGCTGATACTACTTGCTGAGGTAAGGAGTTCCAGTCGTTGACAACACGGTGGGAGAAACGCAGATTCACGCTAAGTTGATTCGACCGCGGTTTTAGAATTTTCTTGTGATACCCTCGGAAATAGTCAGTCGTAGCAAGGGAGAAAAGATAGTACATGTCAGTACCGAAGTCATTATTAAGAATACGAAATGCCAGTATGAGATCTCCCCGTCTTCTACGTTAAGACAGTGGGAATAAGTTTAGCTGATCTAGTCGTTCCTCATAGGACAGATTCGAAAGGCCTGCCACAAGCTTAGTGCCTACCCTTTGAACACGCTTGAGTGCGTCAGCATCCTTTTTTAGGCATGGGCTGGCCGCCTGAATGAAGTATTCCAAGTAAGGTCTAATGTAAGTAGAATGGAGTATTCTGAACATGTCTTGATCAAAACATTTGAAAACTCTGCGAAAGGACCATAATAAGCGGAAGCCCTTTGCTGTAGCTGCATTACAGTTTGCTGGGGTTTTCAAATCATGACTAATGATGACACCTAAGTCTTTTAGTTCAAAGACTGTGAGTAGTGGTGTACCATCAACAGAATACTGGAAACAATTGCTATGACCAATGTGCATTATTGCACTTTTGTTGGAAGTGATTTCCAAGCACCAACGTTTGGACCAACCTACTAGTTCATCTAAATCTACCTGAAGTGCATACTCATCTTCATCACTGCTTATGGCTCTCCAAATCTTTACACCATCGGCAAATAACAGTACCGAAGAGTTGAGCATATTTGGCAATTCGTTGATATATAACAAGAAAAGTAGTGGACCTAGGACTATTCCTTGAGGAACTCCACTCATCACAGGTTTCCACCCGGATAGTGTCCCATTTACCCTTACTTTTTGCCTTCTATCGTATAAAAAGTCCTTAATTCAAGCTTGCAATGAAGCACCAAACCCGAAGGAGGAAAGCTTTCCCAGTAATTTCACATGCGACGCTTTGTCGAATGCCTACTGAAGTCTATAAACACAGTATGTACCGAAATCTATAGACTCCTGCAGTCAGGATGATAGTAGTATTCACCCAACTGGCCCTTTGGCAAAAGTCGAAAAACGAGGAAAACGTGGATGTTGACAAGCAAGTATATCTGTACTCGGAATAGTTGATGCCAACTCAGAAAAGCAGACCTCGCAGTCATGAACAAAATCCAAATTTTCGACGACTTAAGTCTGCAATCCATCAGTATCAGAGGCCTACACAGTTTTTGCGTGTGACATTTGCCTTGGGTGTGTGCAGTGTTAGTTATAAGAGTGTACCACGTCAGTACCACAAACTTATGACAACACCCATGTTACTGAATGTAGTACATATATTCAAAATGCCAAGAGATACCTGTCCTAACTAACAACAACCTAATAAACCTAGTTACACCCTTAGACATCACGAAATGCGAACTCCTAAAATCTGCCCATAGAGGTAGGTCATACTTCATGGGCACTCAGATCACATGTGCAGAAAGATTTCACCTCTCGGCTTATGAAATGACCGCGCATGAGACACCAGAAAAGTCTACATGCCATTCGTGTTGAATCAACTTACATGAACTGAAGAGCCAGTTTGTGTCGAGAACAACTGGGCTAAAGTAAGAGTGGGAAACGGTAGACCAAAAACATTAACTACCAAATCCATTATCTTGCATGCTAGGGACAAGGAAACAGACTCTATCATGTTCAGTGTCCCGACACCAAGATTTACTCTTAGAAACGAACCAGTAGTCGGACAAAGAAAAGCGGGACGACTATTGCAGAATAAAATCCATTAGCAATCTTATCCAGGCTCTCCCTGGAAAGTAGGGCGCCTAGAGGTAAGCCTCCGCCCCTCATGGTGTCATTGATGGCGTCAAAAATATTGGTGTACATGCTTCTACTGTCGTGATGACCAGACATTGCAAGCTCCTACGGTATAAGGACGAAGGCAGATAAACTATGGGCTACAATAGAGGCCGGAAGCCAGTCTACTCTTAGTGAAATGCATAAGGCCGCAACCATGGTGGCACATGGGATGACTAAACTAGCGGGAAGATCCGCAAACTGTGATCGTTACCTCCATGATGTTGAGCAGTGGAGATGGCTAGCATCAAAATTGGGTTTAGAAAGCTTACCTGCTAGTAGCGTAGGAATACTACCAAAAAATCGGACTTTTAGCTACCAGAAGCTACGCACCCTATGTAACATAAACCTTAACAATGACAGGTTGAAATACTAGAGTAACTTAGCTACACAGCTAAGTTGCAACTCAAAAAGCCTATATCAACCTATGTCACAAAGGAAACCAACGAATAAAGGTCTTAACCTTATCACCGAACCGAACGAAGAAGCCTTGAGTAACATTGCAATGGCGGAACTGTTAAGGAACGACTCAACGCAGTAATGCGTCCACCACCAACATTCAGTAACGTAACAGAGGTTCAAGACTATGATGCAAAGCTGATAAACATTAGGGTTTCATCACACCAAGTGTGAAACTATTCATCCTCAAAGTAAGAATATCTGTAGACTCTGACGATATAAAGCCGGTGATCCTACGGGATTGTGCCGAAGTGCTAAGCGCGCCGTCATGCAATCTGTTCACGCACTTGTTGGAAGTAAGTCAACTCCCTAATGAATCGAAGCGCACTATCCTTTCACCAACCCTCAAAGAAGGAGACCAAAAAGGCTCATGCATTTACTGCCTGGTAGCGTTACTTCCTATACCATCCAAGGTATTGGAGAGCATGGTTGGAAATGGATTACACTACCTAAACAGAAACAACATGGTCCATCCCACCCAACAAGGTTTCAGAACTGTGTGTTCATGAGTCGCAAACTTGATGACCGCCTGGGATGACTTGACCAATAGGTTGGACAACAAGCGACCAGTCCATGTTATCTTTGTGGGCTTGACCAGAACTTATGATAGCACCCCACATTAAATCATGCTTGCTAAACTCTCAAAAGTGGGCACGGCAGAACCACTCACAGCATGGTTTACAGCATACATAGAGGACATAGAATTCTGTACTAAAGCAAAGAGAATCCGGTCAGCCTGAAGGAGCGTGAGAAGAGGAATTTCTCGAGCGATCTTTGGACCACTGCTTTTTTACTATTTATAAACGATCTCTTTGTTTAAGTCTTATCCTCTATCCTCCTGTTTGTGTATGACTTCAAAATATGGATAACAGTAGGTGAGAAAGATGACATTAGGATACTCCAAGACTATCTCCTACAGTTAGTGTCCTGGACAGTTGAGAATGGTTTAAGCTTTAACCTGGAAAAGTGCAAGGTGATCTATCTTCGAACACTGACAGCGATGAAAACTAGCTACACCCTAAGTAGTTATACCATCACCAGGGTATCGACGGAGGACCTAGAAATAAACTTCTCTGGCACACTGGATACTAGTACCAACCATAAGGGAATGGCGGCCAGGGCAAACAGTATCTTGAACTTTCTCAGAAGACAGTTTGGAGTTTTAACCCTTGGATTATTCACAGTACTTAGAACTTATGTTGGACTTCACTTAGAGGTGTTTAGTACGATAGCCCCTCCTCCTTCTCTAAAGAGGTGCCCAAACACTTAAAAAAAGGGCAGGGAGGAGTGGAGATGACAAGATCAGTTGTCAGATTAACAGCAGACAAACCATCTGCACAACGTCTTAGACAACTCGACTAGTTTACCTTAGGCTATCGAAGAAAAAAAGGCAACCTAGTAACATTATACAAGGTTATTCATCAAGTGAACCATCCCAACAGAACAACATCAGTCCAAAACCGACAGTCTTATGGGAACCCCACCAGGAAGCTAAGATGCGGGTTAGATCTAACTTCTATCAAATAATGTTTTTCCTTATGGAATTCTGTGACGAAAGAAGTAGCCACCTCAGTTGGCTCTTGCAAACAAATGCCTGATAAATACGTGAGCGCAAACGGCTTGCCACCAACATATGCCGGTGGTAGTTGAAGGTATACTCATGCATCCCTGTGTTGCCTAATCCTGTTATCTGCACTATGAACCATACCCTCTCCATATTGTTACTAGTAACATTTTCCATCAATACTTTTCACCTCTC